TTGTACGTTCCTTGGGCGCTCACACATTTGTGGAGTAAAACAGTATTGCTTACACATTTTCGCTATTCGCTACACTCCGACAATGCCGGATTCGATATCGCTTCGGTTAAAAGTACCTGGGTATACCGGCATAATGGTATAGTGGTTATAATTAATAATTACCCGGACAGCAGCTGTGGGCAACTAGCACTAGGTAGGTACACTATGCATAAAATAACATATTATAAATATAATAATATAAATGTATTGTCTGCGGATGTATGGAATTTGTATTCGCTTTTTTTTTTTATGTGCAAATACGGAGACCCAAATTCGGACTTATTGATGTCGTTGTTGTTGTCTAAACGAAAGCGTCCCACGACGTGTGTTATTAAATTAATCGAATGCCGGTGCCAGTATTATCGAAGGTATTACACAGTTGTATCGCATATTATAGGCGTACGTAGGTATATCTATAACGACGTGACCATTAAAGCCCGCATATATTATAGTCGTGTTTAATGGAATAATAATATATTCAATTCGCTACGAATAGTTGACAAAAAGCAGACGTAGAGTATACCACTACGAAATCGGTCACAAATAGTTTTCGAATAATAGTTGCCGATAATTTTTTAAAGGATTAAAATAAAATACATACCTACCTAATGTTTTTAAAAAGCACCATTAATTAAAATACAGTTCTGGAAACATTTTTAAAAGTCTTTATATCATAAATAGATGGGTATTAAAAATATTTTCTTGAAAATAATGGAGAAAATTAATTGTCATAATATGCTGTTAGCTCATGTTGTTATAATAATATGTTCCTATAGTATTATGTCTTATAGCTGTAAATATTATTAATTGCCCATCCATCAATGATTTCAAATGTAAATTGGAGCAAAAAAAAAAATTAACTATTTATGTTTTATAAATTGAAATATAAAATGAACTTAATGCAATTAAAATAATGACTATACTGAGAAAATTATAGACTGGAATATATAATTTATTTCAGATTTGTATTATTATTATTGTTGTGCTATTATTATGCTGTTGTACTATTACTATACTTGTATGACTATTAATGACTTTGTCACAACTAAATATTTTCAGTGGTACTCCAAAGTTATGTAATTTATTTTATGACTGTGAATCAAAATTATTATTATAATACAACAATACATAACAGTATGGCACATGTATAATATTATGGGTAAATAAGTAATAAATTCAATACATACGATGATACTTAGTCGAAATATATCAATAATAGTAATATTGAATCGAAATAATGGGTACGTGTTTGAAATTCAAGATATTATATACATTTAACCAAACATGAAAATATTTAATACAATTATGTAAATTGTTGAGAATAAAACAAATTCCATTTATTTTCGTGCTATTAATAATATTGCAATACTTAACAGAGCTGATGAATGGTATAAAATATGTGTGTGGGCGAAACTGGAAACTAATGCATAAAAAATGTTACTAATTTTGGTCAACAGTAATACAATATATTATTCATTATTATATTCGTGTTACGAGTTTTCAGACGGATATTTTGATATTCGCGTCTAAGTAAATATTTCAATTTCCCAGAATTCTGTGTTGTCGTTTTATTTTTGCATGGCATTAATTTTACCTGTATCTGCCAAATAGAAAATTACATGGTAAAACAACAGGACACAATATAATATCCTTGAATCTTAAGTTTTTAACTGATATTTCATAACTTGTTTAAATTGTATGGATAATTTGTTCAACACAATAATAGTATTATGCATTCGTAATATTATATTTCTAAAGTTATAGTAATTATAGCAAAAAAAAAAAATCACTCATGCCTAATTAAACTAAACGTTATTGTATTTAAATTAAAATATAAAATAAATTATATGTGTGATGGAAATTAAGTATAATTTAAATTTAATTAAAACAATGTTTTGTGTGATAGATACGTTATATATACAAATCGAATAGATAAGTATCTACGTTTACGAACAACAAACAAATTCAAAAAGAACATTTCGTTTTTCCATTAAAATGTGTTATTATTATTAATGCAAGTGATATTTTGGCGCGGATATAGGTTTTAGTAGAACGGGGGAAAATTAGCTTTTATGAAAAACAAAACACCACAATTACCTTGCAAATCATTTTGAGAGAAAACCAACGCGACGAACACTGTCGTTAACAGGAATTGAAGTAGCGCGCCCATGACATCCAACTGCTTCGACGGATTTTTGCACAATGAGTGTCGTATAGATCACACGGGGTAGAAGATAGCTATAGTGGCTATTGCTCGCAAGTTGATACTAAAGTGGCCTGGCCTAGGTGTTCTCAAAATGCCCCCACCTGTACAATACTCGAATCATATCTAGGGCCACCTGTGGTTTATTTTTTAAACGCGAAAAAACCCGCGTACAAATAATAAATGTTATAATATATTTGACTCATCATCCGTCTCCTTATATACCTACATATTGTACTGTTGCATAATTATCACGTTTTTACAGTAGGCAATAAGAATATATGTTTGGACACGTCATAACCTTAAACAATATGTAAATTTCATGGTTCTCTATAACACATATTATATTATCTGCTTGTGTATATGATGTGTTATTGGCATATTTTTTACTAAATCCACTTAGCCGTACGCCTTTGAAGGTATTGGGTTTCAGCTAAGACCTACGAAAAATAATTCGATTACCACGTTAAAAAATGCGGTATTAATTATTATTCACAGAAATAATCCAGCCACGACCACAACAGGTTTAAATGTTATGACATATTCTACTTAAGCTAATGTACCTAATATAATATTGCTGTGCCAGGTGTTTCAATTATTGATTTGGGAATAATACCGAAGAAAATGTTCGTAATAATACTGTGCGTTTTGAAAATTAATTGGTCTCATTTGTGCGTATGACAGACGCAACTTTGCAAAATTGTACTCGAAAAAATGAATACAATTGAGACTGCCAAACACAACGATCGGTTGACAATTCCGGTATAAATTAATAATACTATTTTGATCTGAATAATTTGATTAAAATACATCGAACGATCTTTATATTGTTGTGTACAGTAATAATATATATTTATTAAAACGACTATTCAGTGACTGTATTATTGTGCGTTCAAATTTCCAACGAGACAGTATAGTATTCGGGGTAAAAACATACCCTAAAAGAATATCCGATGACAACATAAGTATTTGAAAAATCAAATAAAAACATTTATTGTAATATCGTATGTACTTAATACGATATACTATATATATATTATACAATTCCTTATAAACAGTATAGTATGGCTGCTGCAGTGACCGCGGTCGCATCTGTCGTCGACTGAAAATATTTGCAACGTATAGTCTTTCTCATCATATTTTTATACTGATAATATTAAAAAGTACAAACGAAATATTATGATCGCGAAAGATAATGCGAAACGGAATAAAAGTCGAACAAGATACGGAGACGCATCCGATGACAATGTAAGTATTCGAAAAATCAAATTTAAACATTTTATTGTAATACCGTAGCGTATACTTTTACATATGTGACATGTATATCATAATACAATCTTTGTGTACAGTATAATAGCTGTTGCAGTGACCGTGGTTGCTTGACACAAAATGTTAGCAATGTACACGAAGAGTCTTTCGCATCATATCATTATATTGATAATATACTGAAACGTAAAAACAAAATATAATGCTCGCGATAGATAAGGAAACGAAATAAAAGCCGAACGGAGTCGGTGGGCCGTGGGGTATGGCAGTATAACACGGTACTCGTATCCTTTAGTCCTTTTCTTTCACTCGGCTTGGCGCAACGCATAGTGTTGTTTATATAGGTACTAAATATATATACTGTGTATTTGTGTCATAGTAAACGTGAACGCAATGATAAATAATCGCAAACGAAAAACGATTCTGAGCTGAGCTCGTGGGATACTGTTCGAGTAGAGTTTATAGGACTGTTAAAAACGTTCAGTTGCTCGTAAAGACATAATAATTAATCATAAAAAAAAAAAAAAAAACAATGATGAACATTGATTTATTGTATGTGTGAACTTAATATGGAGTCTATTAATAATGGTAAGTCTCAATGGCTCGAGCTACAGATCAAAAATACAAATGTAAAAAAAATCATAACCTTCAAATGGTATACGATTAGCGTTCTTCTATCGTCGAATGGTTTTAAACATCCATATTTTGAGATTTTTAAATTGTTATGACCATCATATACACAAAGTATAGTTATTCGTTTTGTCCTTCGGTGAAATTACCTGCTCTTCAAATAAATTAAAGATGTAGTTACAAGTTGTACTAGAAAAACCAAATCGTCATCTGCTAGATGACCGTATATTTTACCGATCGTAAATAGACCTATATTTTGTAGGTCGTGCTAACCTGTATACTTGATCAATTATAATTAAAAAAAAAAAACATCGTGATGCAATGACTAGAGGCAATAGAACAAAAGGAGTGCTCACACTCTTCTGATTAGTTACCGAAAACAAACGCCATCAAGGATTTACCCAAGCCTTTAGCGCTGCTGCCATTGTTATACACATATTCTAATATTAAAATACTAGTAAACACGAGGCGTGCACTGCAGTTTTTTTTGTTCAATCGATGAGGTTAATAAACAAACAGATTGTTCAATAATATACATTATAAAGTTTTAAGTCTGACACATATTTCCTGCGCTGAATAATTATATAGTAAATAATGATATAAAGTTATTAAAATACAAAATAACATAATATATAGTTTATTATTACGGACACTCGCATTATATTTGTTTGGATTAAAAAAGAACCTGTTGCAATCCTGCGAGACTTTTTTTGTTTTTTTTTTTTTTGGTAGATTAAGTTTCTGTTTTTAGTGCTAACCGTGGCTTCAGAATAGAGATATTAGTAAATTACAATATGTAATTGACCAACGAGTTGTATAAAGTGTACCAAGGAATCAATAATCCTCAAACACCTGTTATGCGTATGTGGGTTAACATACAATTTATTTTAAAATATCGACATTTTGAATACACAGAAACCCAAAATAATTTAAATTAGGTTTTTATTATTTTGAAAAACATCAAATCCAACTATTATTATAATAGTGGTATGTATGATAAATACTTTTCACAAGAAAATTGAAAATAGTGTTTTAAATTAGGTATAGGCGGGCTTTCGTCGCATCACTGCAGTTCAGGCGCTCGCCGTTGAGCATAATAAGACGAGGTCTGGACTGTGGATCGTCGGGCAGCAATCATAATAACGTTTAAGATTATTGTGACGCCAGTCTATCCCGATAGGTTCTGAACAGTACTTTGGCAAGCCAAGAATCGTACTTGGAAGTCATGGGGCAGGATTCCTCTGCATCCGAAACCTCCGAGTTTGTGGATGGCCGCGTAATCCTTGCAATCAATGACCCCGTCGTTGTTGCAGTCCTGCGTAAAGTCAACGATGGGAATGATATTAAACAAACGAATATCGTATAAAATAATAATACATTGTTTATAAATGAGTGAAAAAACAGAACAGTCGATCGACGACGCCGCCGCCGTAAACGGAAAAGTTGATTACACCCACGGCGTATACAAAAAACAACTAATTATTGCGGTTAATCTAACGGTTTACCTGAGCGAATCTGGCCATGTAACCAATCACTGATTTTTTGGCGCATTGAGGGTCGTTGGCACATTTCGAGTAAGCTGAAAACACAAGACAATATAATAATATTATTATTAAACGACAAAGACTTTGTCAGCATAAAATATTTTAACCATCGCATTTGCAGTCATACCAAACCTCGTGCATATTTTTTTTACATAGCACGGCCCCTTTAGAAGTACCCCCACACAAGACCCATACTGTCGAGGGTCTTTAACGGAAAAAAAAATATTCTTTATAATTATTTTCGACCAAAAGGGCGGATAGTACCTATATTAATCGACGTTGCTATTGGTATTACGAATAATGCGATATTATAACTATTATTAAGTGCTGCGACGAAAACGATTCCGTCGTGGGGATGTAAATGAATAGGTCCGCAGGAATGTCGATTTACCGAACAAAACTTTGGTAGTTAACGAAAATATTATTCAACCACGTTGGACACATCATGATAATAATAATAATAATAATAATAATATCCTGTGCGTGACACTTGCAGAATTGACTTTTGTTCGTTCAATGCGGTCGTTTTCGGAGTATAATACAGTGCCTGTGTACCTGCCTACTTTTAAACACTATGCGAAAAAAAATCGACAAACTGCCGAATCATATACTGTTTTCGAAAATGTTATCGAGTAGATGTTCACGTGTTGCGACTATTCTTCATGTACCTACGTACGATATTTCACATAAATGTCAACTCCGAAACAACGTTTTTACTTTTTTACCACGCACAAGAGAAATGTGAAATGCTCACAATATTTTAAAACGCAATGAACGCCATTACTGGAATGTCATATTATATTCGTGTACATTATGCCAGCGATGGCAACATTTTTTACTTTTATTTTAAACTATTCCGTGAGGTTTTGAACACTTGAAAATGCAATTTGTGCATACAAAGACTTGCGTAGATGTAGGTATATAATGACCTTATAGGAAGTCATGTAAAAAAATATTAGTTCCTTTATCGAAAATAATTTTAAAACATATCGATCAACACTCTATGCGCACGCATGTACAATATAATAATTGTGATGATGTCTAATAATCGTGAACTTAGTTCATGATGTTAATCATTCCGCAGTGCACTTATACTTGCATGTATATTACATTTAATGTGATCGCAATACTTTTTTCCGGACTAGAAACATATTATCTTTTTTAATCGGGAGCACAACGCATTCATCTTATCAATTTATTTGTAAAATTGGCTGCCATAATCATTATAATTTATTGCATTATAAATGCAATGCTTATTTGCATTTAGATTATTATATTCATTTAACATAAAAATATTTAGTAAAGTCACACATTACAAAATATTATGAGTATTACGTAAACAATACATCAGGGTTGATACCCTACCCCCTACTACTTATCAGCAATGCTTGTTGCTGTAGGATTCTGATCTATTTGTTTTAAGTTTATACTAATCAGCTGAAAATATTTAATTAACACTTCATAATATTGACTATTTCGGGTAAAAACGCATAATATTTTTTATAAAATACCTAACTATTATGTTCATGCGTTAATAAAACGTAATTAATTTAATATAGAACACTATTCTATGATTATTTTGTTTACATGCAAGTTTGTACTTAGTAATGAAAATAACAAGATGATGACTAATAATCCGATCACATTTAATCTTGTGTTTAAATTATACATTGCTGTTAATAAATAACATGAAACTGATTGATAATTAGTTAATAGTTTTGTTTGTCTACATAAATAAATGTTACTGTGATAGTGTCGGCAGTTGGGTAGTTAAATATAATTAATTTACCAATGTTCTTATTCCTAGTAATAATTAATTATTTTTCTAATTGTTGATTTTCCATTATGCATATTTTATTTGTGACAGTTTATCACATGGTTCAATAGTGAATTATATTTTTGGTAGAATTCTGTTTTAATTACAGTCCTTATTGTTACAATATTATATTCTTACTGTACCCATTGAATATATGTTTATGTATCAACAGTATACAAACGTTGATTCCCCACCATTCCAAGACTGCAACCATAAACAAACAGGAACAATATTATATATTCTAAAATTACTTTTTCAAGGATTCCAATATGTATTCTGAATATATTATTAGGTACCTACCTATTTAAAAAGAATGACAGAGCACTGTATGTTTTGTGTGCGGGATGGATTGTTATAGGTACCGGCTATGGAATCTATGGTATATTATAATATTATAGTATAGATGTTATGCTGTCACAATGATTATTGGCTTGGATTTTTATTAAAGTTCGTATCATATTTATTAGGTAATCTACACTCATTGATGTGGCAAGTATTTATATTTGAAATGGCTTAAGATCTAAGACCAATTTTAACCTTGTTAAATCTGCAAATGTCACTTTTTAAATTAATATGCATATCATACTATAATAATACCGTATAGGTACTTATTTAATTAAAATAATTATTTTAGTGTTCACATTTAATTGTTGGGATTAATATAATTGTCTTAAATCTTAATGTCGCGAATTCGCGATATGATGAAAATATAATATGTACATTATCATGGTTTGTTACATAACGTAGTGGGTACCTACTCAAAATAATCCGGGACCTGATTACAATTCTGTATTCCTTTTTGGTAGAAGTGTCCCTAACGTCTGCCCTTGCAGGCCCCCGATTTGCACCGATTGCACATCATTTTATACAGGTAAACGTATAGTAATTGTGATTTCTTAATGTTATGAGTAGGCACACAATATTATCCCAAATCTGTCCTTAATTTACCGACACCTATGCAAATAAATACAACGATAATTCCCACGTCGTCGGTGTGCGAAAAAAAACCTATTACATTTGTGAGTTCTCACGTCGTTGTATGTATAACCATCCGCACGACTATCGCCAAAAATACAATTTTCTACTTATCCTACAAAATTCATTATTAAAAAAAAAAAAAAAAAACATTCTAGAATATATGTCCGATTCGTCTGTTTCATGGACGTAAAACATTGTAATCTACGTAATAATAGATCACTCGCCGTGGTCGTAGGTGCGTAGGACTCGTATATTAATCCGATATCTTACCGTCTGAGTCGTGTGGATTACTTCCTTCAACAACCGGTTTTCCAGAATCAGACCAATACGGCCATGTTATACCGAACATACCGCATACATCTCCGCTGCACTTCATGTTGGGCGTACACTCGCCGATGGCGTCGCAAAGGCATCCCAAACATGTCTCAGTCACTGGATGATGTTCTGCGAATACCTGTTGAGGAGCTGCAAACAAATTAATAATTTATTATTACTATTATTATTATTACGTCCGTGTTAAAATTGATTCGACACGATGCTAAATAAAAAAAAAAAAAATCACACAACACAATCCATACAACGGTCGAGTTTAACGAACGTATAATATTTATACATATTATATTAAAAAACATGTTTGCGTTTTTTTATTTTCATAAGAACATTAACAGCGTGCACACATCGTCCTCTGCTGGCTTAAAATACTTATACTCTTACAATAGTATATTGATAACGTATGAATAATTTTGTGGTTGCCAGAGAATTGAGCGAATGAATAAAAAAAATAACCAATACCTACGGTATCACTTCGCGCGCTTTGTTCAAATTTACTTTGTAGAATTATTAAATCCTATTAGACTCAGACCAGAACAAAGGACTATTGATTTTACAATGATGTGTGCTTCTTCAAGGTTTGTCGGTAAAAAAAAAAAAAGTTCTAAAAGTTTCATGCATCACCGCAGTATTATTCCGAGTGGTTTTCGAGAAAACGGTGAAAAATTGAAAAGAAAAACTACACCGTATGAATATTTTTTAACGAGTGGTTTTAATTTTACCCTGGTAATGTTCTTTAAGTAGTAACCCATAAGCACTTTATTCAGAGTAGGTTTTTGAACTTATTCACCATCAAAACTTAAATACGAACTAACACTACCAATAAATCAACACTATTTTTAAAATTTAAATAAAAAAACTGATCACATACAAGCTATACGTAGTGTAATAATTTTTGTTTGATTATTACTATTTATTCCTTGAAATAAATGAGTTATATTGTTTTTGAAATACAATTCATACCGAGTATGTTCAAGTAGATAGTTACGAAAATATTATGATGGATGTTTCGATTCAACTTAATATAACATAGGTATCAAATTGTAATAATAATTGACAGATTCTTTTGTAATTTATTAAAAAAAACTATTTAAATATGATTCAAAATATCTGCATATTTTTACTTAATTTCAAACTAATTGACTAATTTGTAAATAAATTGATTAAAAAAAAAAAATTAAAAAAAATAATATGTTAAAAATGTATAAAGCAAATTATAGTATCACCAAAAAATTCATTTTTTTTTCAATCCAAGTTTATATATAATAAAACAATTTAAGCAGTTTTAATTTAAGTGCAAAAATTTTACTTTTATTTTTTATCCGAGAGTGAGTAATAATCTCCTCATAAAATATCAAAATACGAAATTATTATATAATATTGTCAATGATGTCCGCAATTTACTAAAAAATCTATTCAATTATATTTTTCTCTTAAAACGAATAGAAATCGGTAATCGTTAAAAAATCCCAAATGCTACTATATTAATTTTTATGACCTCGATTTATGATGGCAAAAATAATGGTTGGTATAATATATTTTTTAACTGTCTTAAAACGTATTTCGAGTAAAAAAAAATCTCACTCGGTTCGACATCGTAGTATTATAACAAATCGGTTCCTAGACGGACTTCAGTTAAAACCTCGATACCCTTGTAATAATCGTAAACGAGTCGAGTAAAAACTAATATAATGTCGATGTATCATTTCGTGCAAAAAACGAGCGAGTGCAATATTTAACAGCAGACGAGTCGTGATTTTCACACAATACAGTCGTCGGATCGTCGTTTAATTATTGTACGGCTTAAGTATGTTATAAACCGTATCTAATGAGGTGAATATTTCAATAAAACAGAACAATAACTGCGACGAAAATGTATAATATAATCTGTACTCACAGGCTTTGGCAGAGACGGACAGTGCTGTCAGGCACAGGACAGCGGTAGCGAAAAGTACGTGGAAAGCCATCGTTCGGTGCAGTGTGAATCGCCTTGGTGGTGCAGTAAAGTTGAATCGTTGAACTCGACTTGTCCGACGTGTGCAGATGAATAACAGCAATTGCCGAGGCAATGGGTGTATTTAAACGATTGTGGCCTAAGACATTATTGTATAACCTCCAGCCGAGTGATAAACAATATAATGTGGTACAGCGGACGAATTTCGACCGTTTACTGCATCGTAATTCGTTATTAATTATTACACTATATTTACATACGTATAACGTCATTACAATCCGCAGTCCATCTATAATATTATTATCATGCGGGTTTTTCTCTACAGATGTGTCGAGTCGTCATATTAGTAAGAATTAGCACGGGGTTTTTTATAAACATTTTTTTCGCAACACTGATTTATTCCATTGACCGAATAATAACGAAAAATATGATACATTATTATTGTATTGTGAAACACCGCTTTGGGACGCACTAATTCGGCGAGCACGGAGGTCGACCATTTTGACAAAATAAATATACTGGAATCATAAAACGCCGGACTCGTAAATAAAATATTATTACCCACAGAATTCTATATAGATCTAATCTGCGAGCTCTGTTTCTGTGTTATTGCGATTTTTATATCGCAAGAACAAAAGATTTTATTGTTATTTTTAAAAACAACAAAATACCCTATCGTGTCGTACAAGTGCAGACTGAATTGTAAAACTTTCAACACAGCTTTGATGTTTGAACCTTAATATTGTATTAATATTTTTTATATATTTTATTGAAATCTACACTGTCCCATTTAATTTAAAGCCTTTTGTTGTACCCTTTCTAGCAGTTCATATTAATAAAATAAAATACAAGATAATATTGTAATACATAATTATGTAACACACATTTTTGGCTAATGACAGTTTCTGTAATTGTTTGACATTTAGTTTTTTAATTACTATAATATAACATAACAATTTTACCATCCGAAGATAAATATTTTTGATGATAAATTTAATTATTAATTTTCTGTTCAACAGTAAATCTAATCAAAGACATGTTAATAGTGTGATTATTTTTCACTTATCAAACTTCAAAAAGACGTATATAAAAATATATTTGTCTTTCATTTATAAAATATTTTAACGTATCTATAATATGTACTTCTATCCGCTTGAAGGACAAGCATAGTTTATATTATATTGTGACGTTATTATTATAATGTATACATTTATGTTGAACAGTAAATTCGTAAATTCTAAATTTAATTGTAAAATATAGTTGATCATTTTAAATACCCAATATTAATTACTGATATTTTATTCAATTTTGTTCATAAACCATTTAAAATTCAATTTCTCACTGCTTTAAAGAACATAGATACACATTTGTTTTGTAGCTTGTTCTTTAACGTATCATAAATTTTCCAAAGTTGTAAGCGTTTATTATGATTTATAAACTGTTAAGGTATATCTCAACTTAACCTAATTAATGCGTTATAATACTTACGTAGAATTATTAATAACACATTTTATTACATAGGTAATAATAATCAATCTACACAATTTTTTGATATTGTTAAGACACGTTAATGAGATCACAGATTAACATTTTCACCATCCATATTTTGCTTATCAAAGTCAAATAAAAATAAGTAGAGATCGCTAAAAAATAGTATTGTAATTTTTAATACGTAGGATTCAAATTTAAAATGTGATTTATTGGAAAACTAAATCAATATATGTTTTATTTTATAAAATTACGATTTTTTATTTTATTTTTCTACTGTGCAAAAATATAATTATTCATTTTCATTTATATCAAAAATTATACCTACTACAGTAATTCACCGCACAATTGTTATGTAATCAATTTAAAGTATCTTGCATGTACCTATCGTGTTTTTCAGTCGAATTCTTATTTTTGCTTTATTTAAAAAATAATTATAATTTATATCGAGTCCCTAGTTTAATGTATCCCTTTTACAAGATTATGAACCATATTTGCTGACACTATAACTTCATTCAACACTAGTCAGTTTATGCATGTTTTTGGCACATAGTCTAAGGCGTTATACAATCCTTTCCTTTTTGGACTTACACCTCACAGAAATAGCTGGATATTTTGAATTATTAAAAATCAACAAATAAAAAATTAACGTTTGAATAAAAAAAATCAATTTAAGTGAAAAATGATGGACGAGGAAAACAAAGTCGAATATAGATAAACATAATAATTAATGAAGGACGACAAGAATGTCTATTATAGTACGATTAAGGAAATTGGAAAATTATTTATGTAGTAATAATATTAATAGCTATATATTTTAAAAATACGAAACCGTGCATAACATTGTATATTATAATAATCACATATCTATGTTTTTTGAACTAATAATGTGATACATCATTATATATAATATACTTAAATATCCTAAATAATTGTAATGCATATTAAAAATCAATATATTTTGATTTTTTGTTGACGTACTACTCATAATAATAGACAATTATATTATAATATATATTAATATAATAATAATTACAAAAAAAAAAATATGTACAACAGAATGAGATTCCTTAGTCTGGTTCGAATGTTAAATACTGGGCCCCGGGGAAGCATATTTTGCAACTCCTCGAAAAAAAGTTATTTCTTAAAATGTAAGTTATGTAACTACTATTTTTTGGTATAAATGCAGTTTAGCTCCAAAACTGAATTTTTTCTGAAAATTATATGTTTTAATGATCTGAGAACAATGGTGGAATTCGAATTTGAAGGTCGGACATAGTTTCAAAGTAATAACTTTTTAAAATCCGAGAGTTTGCGTATTGACACCCACGAGTCGGGGTTTTTCTAATTTTTCAACTGTCAATAATACCAACGGAAAACACTTTTCTTGGTTCAATGTTGACTCATTCTTTGAAGGTAATTATTAATATTATTTTCCGACTAATTTATGAAAACAATACACACTTTTAAGCTAAAGTTATCATAATTCAAGGGGATAAAATGAAATATTATTTTGTTTTTTGATGCAATAATGCACAATAATAATATGTCAATATAAATGTACCATCTTTTAATGGACTAAACAATTTGATGGAATACATGCAGGGTGCATCTAACTTCCTCTTATCTACGAGCCTGTCCTTATTTTCGACGCTTAAATTATTTGATTTTTTAGACTTTCATTTTTTTTTAGACTCCGAGTTTTCAAGTCATGCACTGATTTTATGTAATTGTATTTAATGTATTTATATTATAATAATGTGTTTTTTATTTATTTATTTTATGTCCGTCATCGTGTTTCCCAGCATAAAATATTTGCTTCAATCAATCTAATATCTGCATGACCGAGGCGACTTGAGGGTGGTTTCTGTTGGAAAACTTGATTCAGATACATAGGTAAGGAAAAAACAACTGGAAAACTGAAATGTTTGCGCAACCCCGGTTTTCGACAGAATCGATTTTGCGTTTCGCTGTAATTCAGAAAGGAATAACAGCAAATACTTGACATTTTCATCAAGTACCTATTGATATCAGAATATTTTTCTAGATATTATTATTTTCAAAATATATTTCTCCATCTCTACAGGAACTTGTGACATAGACACACTACAGTGGATGACACACCGTAAATCTACTACCATCACTAAGTCCGTAGATTATCTGCATTGTCTTTCGTTCCGGAAAATGACGTCGTCAATATTATTTTTAACAGTTACATTTCGACAGTACATTTCACGTTGATAATGAATACATTTCTAAACGACTCGCATCGAAATATTATAGTTTCGAAGATATGTGGATTGGAAATAAAAAAGATAAAAGATATCTTAGATTTTCCATAAATTGATGCTGAAAAAACCGATTTGCCGGGAAAGAATACTGTTACACTAGAAGGTAGCACAGGGGTTTTAATTAATTAGGTGTTTTGTTTTTGTATTTTATTGATTTATTGTTTCGTGGCATGCAAATCTTCAATATTATGGAAGTTTATCGAGTTATCCAAAAAGGACAAAGTTAAAACTCAACGATAATAAATCAGTAGGTACCTATGTTATAGTACATAGCAGGTGGTATTGAACCTATAATAAAAAGAAAAAGTGATGGAGCTGAAAAGTTCAAGATATTGTTGGCGATCACGATAGTACAGGGGAGTTGAAGTATTTACGAGTTATTGCCCGTAAGGCCGTAACTTATCTTTACATTTCAATTATAGTGTAATATTAGGTATGTTAATTATTTTTTTTTTTTTTTTTTTACTTATCTTTACATTTCAATTATAGTGTAATATTAGGTATGTTAATTATTCTGTTTTTTTTTTTTTTTTTTAATAACATTAATTGCAATTAATTATTACTGATTACTACGAAAAAAGAAAAACAAATGTACTATATAATATTTACGAGTTAGGTATGTAGGGTTTTTAAATTTTCTTTGTTTTAAGTTTTCGCTGATTTTAGTTTATTTTTTGCTATTTTTGTTGCCATCAGATTTTCAAACTATTTTAGTTACTTCGATGTAACTCAAAAAATATTAACTGTGGAAGATACTTGAAACTTTCCGCTATAATTATTTATATCATCATTTTCTATACGCGATGAAATTGTTAGTAAATTTAGCCTAAATCCGGGTAAAGTGTTTTCACTTCATCGTGTTTTAGTCGTGTCGTGTTTCGTATATTTAAAATGTTGCCAACAAAATTTCGGTAACACGACACGATACGGCTTATAGCGGAAACCCGGTTATAATTTAAACTTTTAAGTGTAGTAAATAAAGTTGGCTTAACCTATTTTTACCTTAAACATAATATTCACACATTCGGAGTTACCGTCAATGTTACGTGTTTCGATATTGATTTATAAATCATATGTGCTCTGTTATTGTAAACAATTGTTTCTACTCAATAATACACTAGCTACCTCCTAATCATTAGCACTAATACTAATTTATTTGACTATTTTTCATTCATTTATTAGAATAAAGGCCATGCTGCTTTTTAGAACAATATTAAAACAATATAAAAACTAACAGATATTATGATAAATAATAAATCAAATAACAGAAACAGGATACGACAAAATTAATTAAAACTACATATAAAATAAAATTTATGATATTCTACATGTTTATTACCACAGAATAGATTCATTTTAGATTTTAATTTAATCTATTCTGTGATATAACTATTAATAGGCATCTGCCTACACTGTCTTCGGAGTGGCTCAGACTAGGTACATAGTTGCTATGATCAACCAGTTTCCTTTGATTTGAATCGTTTTTCCGTTTTCGTTTACACCTACGCCTTAATGCATACACCTGCCATGATTTATCATTAAATTCGACTCTGACACACCCATTACAATTGCGTTGACTTGATTATAATAGTATCACTCAACAACGAACGGGTAGGTATACACCCGAAACGTACTACAGCTATACAGCAGAGCGAGTTCCCCGAGTTATTTTTAATTTTAACATTATACATTCGATTTTTAAGTCACTTATTTCTGTATTATATTTTCTGTACGCACACATACACTCGTTGGACGAAAACTGCGCCTGATCGCATTTTAATATCGGCAACATGGTTGACAGATTGGATGTAAAATGTCATCAGACTACAACTACAGTCAAATATAATAATATTCTTATCGTATTATTATTATTGTGCGTCGGGCGCGCTTCATGCCATAACCCCTTTGGTTTTGAATACCTAAATGTAAAATATTTTCGGTAGGTCGACTGCCAGTATATAATATAGTTGTTGTACGCACAATATTATTGATCGGATTAAAATACGTTTGCAGTGCCATATGTATAGGATTTCCAGTTTTCACTAACGGCAACGGGCGGAGTGAGTATAATATAAAATAATGTATATGTATAGGTTTGGAAATACACTTCTCGGAAACTCAATTTTTTTTTTCCAGGTACATATTGTAACGAAATCGGAAATTGATTTCCTATGAAATTCGGCTTCCAGCTACGTTTTTAACAAACGAATTATGATTATTTATAAAAATTAAAAAGTATCATCTCTTTGAAGTTTGAACGAGACAGCCAATTCAATTATTTTAACCACTTACATATTATTATAGGTACCTCTAACTATATTATGTTGAAACGTAAGCCACGTTTTTAATTTTTTTTCAAATTATATGGAAATCGGTATTTTTCTTTTGATACCTACCCGCGTCTATAGATCAGAAAGTAATTTCAACAAAATAAATTAATAGCTTATAGCATACTGGTAGCGTATACGACCGACCTAGTGTCATCATAAATCGAGTGCATTTTTTTAATAAGCTAAGTGTGACGAAATAAGCAACAACAAATAATATTGTCATATAATATAATATATAATATTACTAATATAAGACCATCGCGCGTACAAGCTAAAAAAATGGTCAAGGGGACCCCTCCCACCCAATAAATATACGCCATCGCTGAAATTATATAGGCGTTTGACCTTTGTTTTCGTCAAAACCTATCGCGAAATCATAATGTTCAAAAATAATAATATTAATCCGCTGCAATAGCACAATATGGTGTTTTTTTAGCGATTGTTATGCCGAAAAAAGTATTATTGTGTACCCGAAATGTTATCAAAATTGTGTTAATTAATGATATAATATTAATCATATTGTATTTAGAGTTTACGAAATATATTTTTGCGAAATCGAATGTCAAGGGTGTGTTTTTTAAAGTGACGTCTAACCGGTCGGCGGATTAGCACAAATGACGCTCTGGAAAAATTTCGAAGGATTTTTCGAAAATTCCGCGGAAACGATGTAGGTACTGCAGCCGTTGTTGTAATATCGATGACTGTTTTTAAGACGAATAGAGATGAATGTCATTCGAAAAATGATTTCTTTTTTTACTTGTTAACACGTTTACGCGCGTCCTTCGTCGCTTAATGCGCCTTTCGTCTCACATATTATTATTATAATATAATTATATTATGTATAATAGGTCGACGTATAATAACAACACTGTATATAATATAGGTACAATAATACGTCGTATTGTGTTACATTCAGTACATCGCCGTCGTCGTCGTTAATTAATAATTAATAATATTATTGATTATACTATTATAGACGCGATTTTCCAATTTTTTTTTGTTTTGTTTTGTGTTTTTTTTTTTTTTTGTCTCGACATTACACAAGAACGCATAATACTACGACTGTAATAATGCAACCGCGTGTGCAGTGTATTGTATGTTACTCTCGGCAAACAACCTCGGGCGCAATAATAATAATATCCAGAGGCGGACCCGGATTCCGACGTAGAACCGCGAACGTACGTCCGACAACCTTCCATCCGCCATGATAATAATAATGGTAATAATAACGTATAATATAATACCGGCACCGACTACGTCATCGTCTGGACCGAGTCTCGTCGAGAGTCGCATGCCTGCGACCGTGTATGGTGGTTTCTAAGCTCACACACGCGCACACACACCATACGAGTGTCACAACTTACGAGCTGCAGTCGGCTGCCGAACAAAGGCGGTTCGTGTTCTTGTCGTTCGTGCCTCGTAAACCATTTCACTCGGGCACTAGTAGAATAGTAGGTACCACTGTAGTGGCTAGAAAATGTCTGCAGACGGGACGACGACATTACATATTATACATGCAGCAACACCGATTACCACGCATACCACGGTATACCGGTGTAGGTAAATTGTGGATAATAATTTATATAGTGTCATACGCACTGCAGCAAGAAGGTCCGAGATACCCTCGAGAATCGTGACGGACTTCTGCAGAACCCGAGAGGTCACATACAATATGGGAATCCAATCTGCTGCACACGACGATGCATACCTATGTGAGTGATCATTACAATTTTGAGGAGGCGCATCAAATCCAAAATGTGTAACAAAAACGGTGAATTTTTGATACTTACGACCATCCGTGGACACTGTGTATATCTACCTAGGTATAGCTAGTCTGAAAAATAATCTGTGTCCTGATACCTATTGTCTTGTCTAGATGACTATTGGCCATAGAGAACAATGTAGTATGGACAAATGTATCTTGTACACAGCACATTTTCAAATACGAATTTCAGTTGGTCAAATATGATAACATCTATGCAATTAATTTTTTTGAATTTATTTGTTTTGGACATATTTTTTTATTGTAAGTCAGTTTAGTGTTTTCAGCTAGTGTTTAGCTCATTTTGGAATCTTTTTCGGAATTGAAAAATATCCCCTATATAATCCTATACAGAGGAGTAGGCACCAATATTGAGTTATAATCAGTAATCGCTAAATCACACGAAATTATGGTTCGGTTACGTACTTATGTGCATTACTTTTGTTTTTTCTATCTAAACTCAATAGTGCACGTAATGAATAAAATAAATTTTCTCTATTAATATCGAACACGTACATTTTGAAGAATTCCATTATTCTATCCCACTCCGGAATGATGCCTCAACAATACTTAATAAAGTCTCCAACGTGGGCTCGTTTCCATTTAATATAGGTATAATAGGTAATCAAATACAACCGAATTCATCCTCGAACACGGTCTTATTGATTACGAAAATCGTGTACTGTATACAGCGTGATCCCATAATCTTGCTCATTTTTACATTTTTTCTTTGTTAATAGATATTAAAAACTACTATAATTGTCGATTTATCATGGGCATTGCGTCCATAATCCGTATCTTTCAATCCTATTACTATGGACCTATTATCCCAAATTCTTAAGTAGGTACCTACATAAAGTTAGGCAATCAAAACCTACTCGTTCGAATTTTGATTTTGACCTACATCATAGTTTTCAAAAGTCATCTGCTTAACAATTTACGGGAATAGGGATAGTTCAAATTTGAAAAAAAGTCTGACACTTCTTAATTGTTATTCAATTCTATGTATTTTTAAAAGTATGGTTATTATAAGTATACTTGTAAATTCGAAAAACAGAATTCGAATGTATTCACTGTGGAAGAAAGAAACTAGGACGAGCACGGCCGCAGGTAAATCACTCTGTATAGTATATTATGTAAGTAGGTACTTTGTAAAATCACAGCTGGCTGCAAAAAAAAAAAAACATAAATTGTAGTAATGGACTTTGGAGGTAACACTGCAATAATTGTTGGCCGTGTTTCGATGGTTGGCGGGGCACTGCAGCACGAAATTGCGATTTCATAAAAGTACCGTTATCGCCTCAGCCGCCACGCTCATAACATCGTTATCACCCTCGCTGATAACGACGGCGACGACGACAACAAACATCGAAAACCGACGGCGGAGAAGGTTGCGTGGTGTTGACCGGTTCGGCGGTCCGAGCTATACTGCCGATACCATACGTGGTGGACCATTATTTTAATAATAATAATATTGTAAAATCGTTATTGTCCGATACGCAGTGGCAGCGTACGGTCCGCGTAAACAAATAGTACGACAATGACGCGCGACCCGTCCGGACAGCGTTTTCTGACGTGCGCCGCCGCCGCTGCCCTGCTGCTGATAGTGTCCTGGACGTCCATGACCACGACGGCCGGTAAGTTTGTGGAAATAACCATACCATAGGTTAGGTATACCATTATGTACCGCGTCATGATAAAATAACGAGGTGCGAAGGCAACGGACTGTGAAATATCGTTGGGTCTTGCGCACATCGTCGTATCCGGTTCGCCTCGAACAACACTACTTATGATATATTATTTTACCTATATTTATATATTAATCATGACACGACCAATGAAAAGCGGCGAACTGGACACGGGTGGTCGGTGGGGTAACGAGCATACGTGTATCATAAAATTTCTATCGAACCGTGTTACTTTATCATGACATTATGTCAGTCAGTTTCAAAAAATGGCACTTTAGGACGACGCATGTGGTTTTCGTCACAAAGAGCCGACGAACATACAGGTACCATCAGGTACGCGGCGTCGTCTTCCGGTGCTTCCAAAAGTTCTCGTTACAGTAACGTATGATGTGTACCATTGTCCATAACAATAGTGGCTAGTGCTGAGTACATACACTCGAGTACAATACATGCATAGTTTCATTCAAAAATATTAGGAAGATAATATTATCATATTAATAATATTATGCTAATATTTGAAGTAAAACATTTTGACAGTTATGTTGAAAACATTTTCGAAATATTAATTGTATTCTTGCCAAAAATAATGTGAAAACATTTTGGCAATATTATTAAATATTTTGATGATCGTTATAAAATATTTTATAATTTACTGTAAACGTGTACAAAATATTATTTTATGTGTGATTCATTTTTGAAAAATACCGTAGGCTAATTTATATTATTGTTATTGTTTGTAACTTTTCAATAATATCTATTAGTACAGTGCAGTACTGTATTACAATATTATCGTACATTAGCACCCAAATGTTTCCTTCATGACAGAATGGACCATGCTGTCCAGTGTCTGTGAATCACTATTTAGCAGGTTGAGCGCCATGTGGGTTTTTATAGTTTTTTCTAATGTTGCCATGAGGTCCAAATTTGGTTCTCGGTGAATTTTATTACATTGCCATCAGAACATTTGGACCTCACTTACATTAAAACTTTCATTAAATTTATTATTTTCAGCTTCTGCACTATATTTTGATATAAATAGCGAAAACCCAAAATTCTTATTAATTCTAAGGAACATTTAAATATAATCACATTTCAAAAATATTTTTCAATTTTATATACTATGGCAATAAAAAACAAAGTTTTAAAATAATGTTTGGCAGTCATCAAAGTCTAGTGACATTCGAAATTGGGTCTCATGGTCCTCAACCGGCTAGTTAATTTCATATACCTACAATATTGTACATTTATCCATATTACGAATAGGATAATATTTTTGTGTGACAGCATAGAGTTAAAATATTAATCTATTTTTTAGATTTTTATATCTAGTCACTACCAATAAGTGAAGACGACAACGTGCAGTCGAAATTATTCGCAAAAAAAGCATTTGGGTACGAACAGTATACGTCCTAATGTAGTACTTAAACGTGTTCAGTAAAATCATCGCGACAGCCGACAGATACACGTCACGGCATATAATTTTTCAGAAATCTGCCAAAAACGTTTTGTGATCATTTTTCAGACTACTGTTACCTACGTCGCTCCGTCACTAAGCCCCGGTGCACGCGATAATATTATTTTTCCGACGTTGTAATATTCCGAACACAGACTATAATATAGAGACGATAAATTAACGGGTATATATTATATAGGTCGCGATGGTGCTACGTTTTTCGTGATTGGATTTTAAGATGTCAGAGGTGAGTTATCATCACACGTCATGGTACCGTATAATAATACTATATTATATTATGCCATAGTCGGATCGATGATTATTCCCCTCGTTTCATTTTTGGTTTCCAAACATAAGTTTGGAACATCTTATATTTCCGTCCGTCCGCCCGTTAGTTACTAGTACACATTATGTATTAAATATGTATATAGGTAATTACGATAAGTGATATTATTATTTTCATTTTAAATAATTAAAAAAAAATATATTTATGTACCTATATAAATACATTTAACTAGAAGAGACTTATTAATATAAATATTTGAATACTACAGTTAAATAAATAAATAACTGTAAAGCTGTTCTATTCGGAGTAAATGTACACTTTCCATATCAAAAAATATTAAAATATGTGAGTATTTAGTGTACAGTGATACTATCCAAAATAGGTATCAGAATACTATAAAAGGTTACCAAATTATTTTTAAATTGTTTATGGACTTATTGCGCGTCGTATTATAATACGTTCAGAAGCCGGGTATTCAGCACGCTCGCAGAGTGAGCTTTCCTAACGTGTTTTCTTTTAGTAAAATATATTAGGCACGTCCCCGCATGTATAATATAATATTAAGTACCAATGATTTTATCATCATCCAGAGTTGTAGCACCGCATAACCAAAAGGATCACTTTTCTAGTATTATGTGGGTTCTATAGAGGGTAGATTACCTATACCCACGATGTATAGATATGATATTTTAGAAGATATCTTAAAATAATCTAAAATCGCGATATATTTTCTCTATCGTGACTATACCTGGTTTATCAGTGTAGCATATATAAAGATTACTACCTATGGTTCAACTTATCGATGCAATGAATATCTCAGTAATTGTATTTTATCAATTATCACTGTAAAATTAAATATTTATCACGTTCCCTTACAACATGATGACAATAATATATTATATTATACATAATATATTTATGGATACAATTATAACATCAAACATTTGTAGAACCAGTCTCAGCAGCAAAAGATAATTATGATCGTATTCTGGCTACACTGAATTATACTGAACAATTTTTACCGATTAAATGATCCTTCTGGTTATTCTTTGGCTGTAGTAGATTAGTTGAGCCAGTCGGTGATTTGTTGTGATTGATTTCGTTGGTGTTGCAGGCCGGCACGTGTCTAACCTGAACGGAAACTGCATGCGGTGCCTGTGTTACGCGTCAACCCTGTGCAACGCGACGGTCGGTTGTTCACGTGGTTACTGTGGTCCTTATTACTTGTACCGCAATTACTGGAAGGACGCCGGCCAGTTGGTGTTACAGGACGACGACCCGGACCGGGACCAGGCGTTCGTGGACTGTGCTTCAAACGTCGAATGCGCTCAAAAGGTCGTCGAGAACTACATGGTCAAATGGGGACGGGTAAGTGCCTACCATATAGATCTATAAATATAAATGGTCTGATAGTAGGGTGAGTGAGAGAGATAGAGAGTTGGGGGCTAATATTAGTGACATTGTTGGAAAAATATAGCATACAACTTAGTCCATCATACCCATTGATGACAAAAGAGAGAGAGAGAGAGAAATAAGTTAAATAACAAAAATAAAAACATTGTTAGAAAAAGATAGTTAGGTCCATTCATATAAGCACAAGTATTTATCAATTTATCATCTATAACAACGTTAACGGCTTGGAAACCTATAGCAAGGTGTGGTTGACGCGCAGTCCATGCATTTATATTGTGTCGACGACGTACCTTATATTATCTAATAGATCATAATATGCGATAATATAGTTGTAATGACATAGGTGGGTTAGATGGCCAATGGGGGTTGCAGACCACCCCGAAATGTCAAGTCAATGTTTTAAATACTTGCAGTGAGACATGATACTTACTATGTGTACCTATTAGTAAATTGTAGTTTGTACGAAGGCTGCTGCAAAAGTCTAAAACGTTATTTCTCACGTATAGGCGTCAGCATATATATATAGCATAACCAACTTACCTATGAGGGATTCCCTAGTTAAGCCTCATCTAAATATAACAAACAATCACACCCTCCCCCCCCCTCAAAGCGAAATCCAGCGGCTACCTCAATGCAGCTATGAAATAATATTATTTGGGTATTTAAGTGATGGCGGCGGCGGAGGGCCGGAAGGAAGCGCAAGCCGCCGCCGTCGTTATTACATCGTTGACCGTTGTATAATAATTATTAACCTCGAGACGACTTGCGGGGGAACGACATCACCGGTGTTCTTGTTGGGGGGGGGGGGGGGGTGCGAGTTTTAAGTTCCGCTGGCGACGTCCTTAGGAAACGCGTCGTCCGGTCGTTGGCAGAAACGCCGCCGTTAATCACGACGATAACGATTCTATTATTATTATTAGGTATTATAATATTATTGGCTACGGTAGGGGTAGTGATGATGGGTGTGCTAATAATAAAATATTCCAACTTTGCCGTACCCTCGTCGGTTTGGAAATGATCGAAAACGTTCAAACACGCTCAGCGTCGTATAAATACATAATAAACGTCACACGAAACTCACTCGTTGCCGTCCGTCACGCATATTATACAACACGAGTGTTACAACAACAATACAATTTATAATATTCATAATAATATATTATTATACAGCGTCGACGATTTAATTGTCTCCCGGGGACTCGATATTATAATAATATTATTATCACGACTTCAGATCGTTAAAACAAGTACCTATCTGGTTATTGGTATTCAAATGTAGTTAACAGTGCAATGTTTCGGTATCGAATGGTTAATGTTTTTTTAAAAAAAATAAAACATTTTGCTGAGTCTAGCGTTGTTTTGAACATGGATCACCCTTACCCACTCATCCACTATAGTAATCCCTGCGCATAAAATAATACGCAACAAGTTCATTACTAAAGTTCTGATTTTTATTCAATCGTATAGTTTCGAGCTCTGCAGACCTCAATTTCCGCATATATTTTGATAATTATTGCATATTTTGACAGAATTTAATATTTATTGCATATTGAAGTGAAGTTAAATTATATACGGTTTTAAGAATCTAATAAAGGTGTAAGTTTTAAATAGTATTTTCTCGAGTAGAAAATTATAAAAACAAATATGGCCGACTACTACAAACCTATCGGTGGTTGTTGGTAAATTATCTATTTAATAACAACTTTATCGTTGTAACCAGGAAGTGAACTTCCCTGTTCATAATCTTTTTAATTCTTTGAAAAAATATTTGTTTTTAATTGAGTATCTATGATAATATTAAGGTTTTAAATGTATTTAAAATGATTTTTATACCTAACAAATTAATAATATTACTATACATTTTAATATTAATATTTTTTTTCTTTTTTACTGTAGCTTAGTGTTCAAACTTGTCGTTGTATATTTCCACGGTTTTAAATGCACATTATATGCCATAGGTAAAATATCATAATTGTGATAGACTTTTTATTTTATAAAAATCCGTGCTCTAATCATGACTATTGGTCATATTATAACGCGGATCGCATTCTATAGGGTTCGTCGTGACGATTTCATTCTTAGAATGCGAGGGACTTACGAACAAAAATTTAGTGTTCGTTACACGAATATTTTCTTTGTTTATACTTTTATAGCCAACACACGGTCCGCGATAGAATAAATTTCAAACCTACCTCCGTATATTACAATATGCATAAAGTACTCGGATGAATTAAATCGGTTTTTTTTAAAAAATATTTTAGAGTTATTGCGAGGTATGTACATATTATACGAAGTGTAATACTACGGCGTTCTGTTACGATATAATATAATATTTATGCCGCCGACGGTATGATTTGGTGTACACGTTTAATCAACAAAAAAAAAATGAAATACAATTTCAAGTGCTTTTGCATTCGAATTGTATTTTGTGAATACTTTTCGAAAGTGTTTTTTTTTCACTGCACTGCATACAAGTTTAGGTACACAATACGCGATCGATGAGTGGGGATCTGTGTCCTTGATGTGCTGCAGGTTTCGCTGTACACCGCACGCCAACAAGAGAATATAACACAAACATTAGTCATTAAATCGCGATGCTAAAATCCGATATTATACATAATGATTGTTATTATTATTAATGAGTGTGCGTGTAGACACATTATACTATAATGGTATACTCGGCGATGGGTTTTAAACGAAACGCATAAATTATTCACGCTCGAGATAGGTGTACCTATATAGTCGATACGAATATTATTATATTACTGTTGGAACTCGGGAGTCATCTGCGGGTAGTCTGTTTTGTTTTTGTGTTCACAACACCATTATATACCCGAGCTAAATAAGCTGTACAGAGAGTTATCCAAATCGATTCATCCGATTTCAAATGCTAGTATGTGTCTGGTTTTTAGAGTAATACCACACGACGTGATACATTAAATAAAAGATTGAAATTTCAAATTCAATTCATGATACCCATAAAACGAATCCTTCGTGGCTTTCATTGGTCACTGCACGAACAACGTTCAAAGTCAGAACTCAAATTCATTCCATATATATATATGCATCATATCCGTCGATACGGTACGTACACTGCAGTATCTTAAACATAATATTAATATATCCCCAAAATAAGTATAGTGTGAGATCAGGAGCATCGGGTGATTAATTTTGATTAACTCCATATTATATATATATATATATATTGTAATATCAATGCGTGCTACACGTGCCTACACGTCAACCGACGAATTCCCGATTACTCGGGGAAAATTGTCTGTCGGGTAAACATTTTGAACTATCATAATAATATTATTAATACGTTGCACAATCGTAGAATAAAATTGTTTGATTGCGCAACGCATTGAATTTTATTTTTATTTTGGCTAAGGTATACGACGTTAAAAAGATATAATATAATATTATCGTGAGCTGTATGACTTCGTTGGTTAGGTATCGCACCATAGTATATCTATGAAATAATGATAATAATATACAGTAATGACCGATATCGACCTCATTAGTGTCGCATAAGTAGACTAATTATTACGATACGACGGTGGCGATCGAGGACGAGTTTGTTTTTATCCGGGTATCACGCATCACAATAATAATATAGTAGTATACAATAGACATAATATTAGTATTTTTTCGGACTATCAATATGATATTACTGCAGGTACTTGTGTTATTGTATTATTAATTATTTACGATAATAATATGCTCAAATAAAGTCTTTTCTCGCCATTATATTGTACAATATGAGTATAATATGACGTGTGCACGTGGCGAACGCAGGCCGCATTATGTGGGATTACAAAAACTCGTTATAAACCTACAAATAAAATGAACATTTTTCGCCCTTTAAAATTATACGTGTCGCGCTCGGATAAATTATTCAAGTCGAAACGGTTTTGTGTCCGCGCGAGTCCATTGTGCGGTGTGACGTTGGCGATGCCACGCGTATAATATAATATTATAATGCCGAGCATTGAACGTGTGAATAATTCAAAACGAGTTTTATTAATCTATTTTTTTTTATCAAAACATTGTCGAGCACAATTAATAACGGTAAAAAAAACAGCTCCGCAAGAGTAGTCGATAAACCCTCGACACATCTGCAGGAGTATAATAATATGGGCAGTTAACTATATAGCGAGTGGCGCATGGGTAGGTACCCCACACAGTTTTCGTCAGCTGTATTATATTATATCATACTCCGTTTGTCAAAACATTAAATACTCATACATAATGTATAATAATTAACCAGGAACAGGCATAGGTACTCGCTCGAAATCCCATTTTTATGCATCGAAATTCTCAGAAAAATATTCTGTTACGACATTAAAAAAAAAAACAACATAATATTGCGCTGTCGTTAAAAAGTAAACCTGTAAAAATAACAACGTTGTTAAAAAATAGCGAAAACAATTTTTTTTTGCAAATACTCCGTTTTGTAATGACTTCAAATTACTTATAAAAACACAATATTTCCAAAACGTTGATACTTTTCAAAACAATTTTATATACTGACCTACAAGAGAATCGTCTATTTGAAGTATATTATTGTTACAACACAAACCGAATACACTCATATTATTCGATTGGATACCTTCCGATGATTGTCATCTCCGCCTTTCACACTCGTGCAATGTAGTATTAAAAAGTAAAAACTACACATTTAGCATCCAACAGTGCGGCCGACAATGTAAGGCGGTAAATATTATAAAAACGGATTTTAAATTTTAATTATTCAGCTTGAAGTGCATACGAGATCGATCGGGGCCCGTTTTTAAATTTTCCAAACACATTTTTGAAAGCTTGAGTGTGAAATTCAAAAAAGTGGCAGCACGAAGTGGCGTTTGTGCACACTTCGTGCTGAATTCAAATTTATTTTGATTATACGCAGGTATTTTTTTTATCTCTTCACTACATTGATCTGATGGACTCATAATGAAAAGTTTTTATACCATGTTGCACACGTTCAAAACTGCAGACATAAAAAACATCAGTAATCAATCCTCTCAGTTTCGGATCTAGTGTTATCTTTTTTCTTTTTTTTTTTGGGGGGGGGGACCCTTTATAATTTTGAAAACAATATTAAATATTTAAATATTTTTTTCGCAAAGGAACGGGTGATTTTACCTGCTATGTCCCGTGCAGTGGTAACTTAAGCATTCACCCTATTAACCCATATGCGTTGGGCTAATGATGGAGAAGGTGCAGGAACCCTAACCCGGCCACCCTTAAATTCGCTACTGATCCCCCCGCCCCCGAACGCCGTATTAATTTTCTGTGCGCAAACATTATGATATCGTTTTAACATAATAATAGATCGTTGACGACACGTGTACACAGGTAATAAACAGATCTATGCCACTAAATCATGATGCCGAGTCGCATAATAAAATTAATTAATTTAATGGTTCACTAAAATTTAATGAATTAATCATGGGTCACCGAGTCATTGTTAAGAGACCATTAGCAGATTAGCTCACTATTGATTCATTAAATATTTAGTGATTGTTTCCGCCAAACGAAATTTACTATATAAATTATATCAATATTATACACATAACGACGAGCCAACCAATGCGCATGAGCGTTAGTTTTGGCTGACGTCACTACAACGAAGTCACATTTGAAATGCATATAACCATATAGGTATAGCGCAGAATAGATAAAATACGCAGGTAATAGGAATCTATTTTTATCGGATTCTCAGAAAACGTAATGATGACCATAACTTCTTCGCCGAGGTACCCTGTTATTATATTCCGTCATGGCAAATATTATTACAACATCAGCTGTATTATTAAATTCGTTTGATGACGATGGCGATGATATTATAATAAATTATATACACCGTGGCACGAGACGGCCAATAATGTGGAAATGTCGTCCGGACAGCCGGAGTCCGAAGTGCACCTACGTCACATCATTATCATACATTTATTCCTTTAGAGGGAAAACGTGACTTGGAACAAATTGGTTTCCGGTAACCAATTTTGGATCGACTACCACGAAATTGATCGTTTCACGGTCGATTCGGACGGTCAAATACTACGGGATAACGTCACAATATTATATCGGGCGATACGCGGGAGTTTGCGCTTGAAATAAACTTTTCATATTGCACCAATATTGCGCTCGGTTATTTTCAGAGTTGATCGACCTGCAGTGGCTATGGGCAATTGGTCAATTAAATTTAGAAAAATGTTTAAGACTTTAAAATTAATATTAATTGGAATAACACGCAGCTTTAGTGAGGTACTTCATAAAAATAAATTATAAAACTGCACAATAATAATATTAACACTAATTAGGAATTTTAAATGTAAAATACTGCAAATATAACTTACAATCTAACATACTATTATAAAAGCATCTATATAATATAGAGTACTTACCATCGTTGTATCACCCCATACAACTAAGTATTGTGTAGTGCAACGATTCGATTATGCCGATAAAATACATAGCTTGTGAAAATAAAAACTTGATTTCGCGTGTAGGCGTATTAAGTAAGGTACCTATTAGTATCTCTGAAATTCATTCTTGCGTATGTCACAGATTTTAATGACGTTTCGCAAAGGTTCCGATACTGCGTTGTAGAACAGTAGCTCCAAATCAGCTATGTATGCGTATTAATATTTCAAATTCAAAAATATTTTATTTTAAGACAAAAAATATTCAGCCAGTTGTTCACCTGGTTGTACATTACAATATACGTTTTTATTATTCAATTAATTTGATATACAAAGCTCATGCAAAATGTATGATATAATATTAAATGTCAGTGATGCGCAATTCCACATAGCATTAAAAAATTAATTTTTCATAAATCGTATTATAGTATATTAATTTACTATCCTAAAAACACACGTTTTGCGTTATGGGCGCAACTGGTATATAATCTAATGTAACTTACAACTATTCTGCGCCCGTTAGATATGTATTATCGCGGTTGTAAGACTATTTATATAGCACGGAAGTCGTAGGAGTTGTATATTTTTCTATATTGCGCTCACGATTTATATAGAATACCGTGCTAAAAAATTTTCAATATAATGACGATTATAAATATCGAAAAATTAAAATTGCATAATACGCATATTTCGCCAATTATTTAGAAAAAAAAATGAATATTTCTTCAATTTTGTACAAAATGTGTATTTTTTTATGCAGAATATCTATTAAATGTTTTCAATTGAAATGTCAACGTATTTATTATAATATGACTCACGTACACTACTCGGTGCTAAACAACTTCACGAATATTGAAAATATATTTTACAATGCTATTTATAGGTACGGATAATAATAATATGTTTGCAGTTCAATAATTAATTTCGCCAATACCAACAGTTTTTGATCCCATCAAATCATTCTTTTTAATTTTAAATTTATTTTTAATCAAACAATTTTCAATGTATAGTAATGCACCTGCATTAAAACCATACAATGATTTCAGCAAATAATAATGAATATATTGATTGTATACTTTTTTTTTTTAGAATATTCCGAAAAAAAACCTTTTTGCATAACATTCAACTTTTTTGATTGCATATTTTAGACTTTGTTTGTGCATAATATATTATATTGTAGCGCTTGCGAATGTCGAGGCCCAATAATATTGTTGCAACCGGACGATACGGTCTACAACGACTTGCGTCATTCACCGCTGTGCAGGTGTACTCAAACGGGGTATCGATCACTGCAATATATAAGCGCTTTCGGCTGCAGGGAAAAAAATAATACCCACATATTTTTTTTCGATTTATCCGAGAGCACATAATATCGTAAAATATACCTGTGTCCTATAATGTTGTACCTGTATAATGAGATCGCCATCGATTTCCTTGTTTTTTTTTTTTTTTTTCGTATAATATGGTCGCGCCGTAATCGTAGGCGGGTGGCTGGTTTCTTTTTTTTCATCAATTTTTTTTTCATTTTCTTACCACAGGACTGCAACAAAGACGGCGTGACGGATTGCGACGATTACGCGAGGATTCACTTCAACGGCCGCGAAGACTGTTCGGCCATCGATAACACCAATTTCTGGAGGCGATACGAAACGTGCCGGCCGGCCAACACCAGAGGTGAGTGAGTCGACCCGCGACGGGCCCAGTGAATTTTATATTTTATACTCACTCGGTTTTCTATCGAACGGTGCTGGCGGTTATTGCGGGCCGCCACTATTATACACGTGCTCGGATCGAGGGTCGACGGGACGGGGTCGCAGGTCGTCCCGACACGTCACATACATACTCGTTTTATTATAATCAGACCTATTTTCGGTCGTTTCGCCGACCAGAAATTTTACTGCGAATAAGTCTCGATGTACGCACGCACACACACACACACACACACACACACACACACACACACACACACCCAAACACACGCAGTATGTGTATCGGCGTATATCGGCACATCGAGTGTGCAGACGAAGAGCGGAGAGGGAGGGAGGGAGCGTTTAAGTCGATAGGACCGCGATACAACACGTACGCGCGTGGTATACGGCCGCTACACCCTTCGCCCAAAACCGTCTGCGATTTTAATATTATATTATATTACAATGAATTACTGTACACGAATATATTATGATGATAATATAGTTTAAAGTTTACTGGGTAAAAAAATAGCAGATCCTCTCAGACACGCGGTTTTGTACACGCGCACGCGTACACGTATATAATAGACCTGCAGAGCAATCGTATTATAGCTATAGTCGCCGTATAATATAAAACTGGCAGCGATGTATATAATACTATGCACATACGGGTACGCGATATTACGTATAATATAATATAATATATTGTTATTATAATAACATTTTAATAAATGTATGATATAAGAAGTAGGTATACCTACGCGGCTACGCGTTCTGAGGACCGCAATATATTTTAGACTCTGCGCGATGTTAAAAATGTATTCATAGCTTAATTGACCTATACGTCTACTCATATTTTACATTTTTATACCTTCCACCTATATATTATATCCATGACGTAGCAGCGTAAATATCATGAAGTGTGTGCGTACGAACGCATATATAATAATATACACTATCGAGTATAAATTATTATGAAAGTATACTGCATACGAGCGCATATATCGCACGTGCTCAGCACCAAAGGGAGGCGCTGTCTAGAAACATAAAATTATATTTTTCGGGACAGCGACAACTGAGACTTTAAACTGAAAAGTTATTATTATTATTATTATTACTATGGTATCTTCATTCGCAATGAATGCACTTTTAACGGTTGTCGGATCCAAACAACAATATCGTAAACGTTGTGATTAAGTCCTGTATTAGCGAAAGTCGACGTTAAACAAAAAAATATGGTTTAAACATTTAAAATATGTATTGGATTTGTGCAGCGTGTTAATAATTTTATGCATATCGTATGGGGCACCGATGACACGGTATTAATATAATATATGATAATATGTGTTACTATGCATTCCCATTATTAAAGGACATCGAAAAATCCGGGACTTTTAATTTCAATACAACCGTAGATTACCGTTAAAAATCACGGGTTTGTAAATCGTGTGTTCATTTTTAACTACATATACTCTTAGAGCTTCTCTTGGTATATAGTTATTTAAATAACACGACGTCTAAGTGTTCTTGAGCTCGAATCAAAGAGCGTGTCGATAGCTAATTCTGGCTAATCGGACTAATCGGGCTAATCCCCATACGACATATTATAATATTATGATGACATGTATAAAAACAGATTTTCCAATAAAATCGAGCCAGTCACTCTTGGTTCTATAAGCCCGCGCATGTATTATAAAGGCACGTCGCATTATACAATATTATTTGCAGTAAACGATATCCGCTTTGCGCGGTGACAAAACAAGAGCACAGGTAAAGCTTAAATCGTACGTCAATATACGTACCTGTAGTTTAACGACCATAGTTCTCTCCAACTCATCCTGCGGGATCCTGCGCATGGTGTGTAGGATATTATAAATTATAATATTATTACCATCGTGTTAGTGCACCGTTTAGTAGTCCGATTATTATAGCCGTCGAGAGAGCGCCGAACGAGCGGGAGAGCGTTGATATATTGTCGATCGATAATTGTTGATATAGTTAATAGTTGTTATAGCATATTGTATATAGGTAGGATGCAACAGAAACAACTGGCAGACGGTAACTGCGTAATAAACGGCTGACTTTATTTGTAACAAACTTTTCAATCAGATGTAATTGTATTATAATATGACTGTTGTTAGTTATACGTGTATGTAAAACGAGAGAAAAAACAAAATATCGATACGAACTAAAAGTTATTAGTTTTTTTTAGCTATTTCTGTTTCATTCGTACTTCGTAGTACAATAATAGTGTCGTAGGTATCGAATAAAATCGCTTTTTTCTCATCATCTACTCCGACAGTAGGTACGGTTTTCGAGAAACCAACATAACACAATACGTATATTATTATAACATAATGAAACACTTCACACCAAAATATAAAACACTAAGAGATTTATTTGAATGAAAATGTTATTATATAATGTACATAAAATAGGTTATAATATAATATTACAATAGGCTCTATTACAATAGTTTTACGTCTAATTTTTTATTTATTTATGTTTATAAAATTGGTCGTTTGACTAACAAAGAAAACAAACATTATCAGACTTAATTCGTGAATGAATAAATACATCCTTAAATCTAAAGTTTAGATACAAGATCTGCTATGTATTGTTATGCTACATACACATTACACATATACAAATATAAATCACAGAAATGGGGTTTAAAAAAGTGGAAGCCTTAAGTATACAAACACACTACAAAATATTACACATTAAATATAGTTTTATTTTTGTTAACACTATGACAGTAATAATAATAATAATAATAATAATAATAATGAACGTTTAAAATATGTAACCGTGTTTAAGGGTCCTATTATTCAATGGGTCAAATGAAATATTTTTAACATTCGTGTTATTTTATGTTGTACACTGCGCTTTTCGGCGTCATGAATATTTGAATAAATAATTTAATTCACACTCCATGTTTATTTATGTTCTGTTTGTTTCAGGAAAGTTTAACTGATGTACCTATCGAGAGACCAAACTACGCGAGCTCATTAATACTTACTACTTATTACGATGTTATTATTTATATTAAAATTAAAATGTACTGTATAATATTATATATTGTTGCTATGTGGAAAAGATATGTAACCGGATGTTGTTTGTCACATTATTTTGATTATGATAATAATATTATTATAATATTATGAGCTCGCCGTCGTCGGCCGTTGAGATTTCCTTACTGGGGAAAAAAATACGATAGAGGTTATTAAAAATCAAATGCTTTAATAATATTATGTAGGTATGTACATGATAAAATATTTATAGTATAATATAAGTCTCCGGTTACCACCGGTTACAAACACCCCGTCGATTTTAGTAAACACAGTGCGCTCTACGTGGTCGTAACTATATATAATAATAATAATACCTACCCGCAAAAAATAATAATAATATCAATCGTCTGATGTCCTGCGATCAAATTATGGTTTGTTGTTTTTAAAGCGTAAAAACCGCCAGAATTTGAATTTACCGAGTATCCTCTGCAGACCGTTTTTCGATTGATTGTCGTGTCTCGTCCGGTCCGCCATTGATTCCAGTTTGCTGCAAAAATAAAAAAAACACAATATGAGCATAGGCAAAAATAGCATTTGCGGTTTTTTGGTTTTTTTTATAGAAGGGGGGGGGGCAGAAACCGTACTTAAATAATATAATCGTATCGTATACTTATGCTATAGGTATTTCGGCATTGTAAATTGAGTTTTTAATACGAAAAATAAACGCCAATCGACTTAGCAAGACTTTTTTGCAATTTTTTTTCTACTAGAAAATGTTTTTTAAAGACGTTTGGACCTCCTTAGAAACTATAGTATTAATGTATAATATAATATAATCGCCAACCCCTGCAGTGCAGCACAAAAGCGCTACTCCACTATCACCGTGTCACGTATAACGCTGTGTTTCGTGGTTTTAGTAATCTAAATTTGGTATATTATTATGGTATGTTTGATATTAGTCACGGACAAGATTTTATAGTAGGGGCGAATACATTTTTTGGTACCCACCCACGTCTCACAGATTTGTATATCCCCCCCCCCACCATAATTTTATTACAAACCTCTAAAAAAGTTATTATTTTTATTTTTATTATTAACCAATTCTAAATAATTATAATAATAATAATAATAGTAAATAAGAATTCTAGAATAGTATACTGCAGTTGAATGACAAATGTCATAAAGGTAAATTAATATATTATTTACCCTTAGATATCACCCACTAACATAAGCACCCACCCACCCCTGGGTTGTACTAGGGGCGGTTGCCCCAAAAAATCTACTTCGCCACGCCACTGGACTCACGGTTATCGTTTTACACGAGGTATGTTGAGATGAACGCTGTAACCGCATGGAAGTTTATTAAATTAAATCGGTGGGTATGAAGATATTATATATTTTTGTTTGAGAATAATATCAACCTTTATTAAGTCAAAAGAATAAGAGAATAATGATTCGTTGTTTATGAATATCAAATTGGTATTCTCGTCAACTGCTGATGAATGATTATATTATTTTGCAGTTGGATACAGTTTAGGAGAGGTAATAATTGTTGAGGGGGTAATCGGAAGTATCCGATTTTTTCCCAACGTATAATCGGCTGGACTCTGTACAAGATGTCTAGAGTTTTTAATTTTCGTTTAACCGGTCCTATAATTTTAAGGGAGTAAAATATAGCGACCGATCTATAAAGTCACCTGCGTGGAAACAAATTTACGGCACTCGTCGGCGGAGTTGAAATGGTTCAACTTAACGGTAACCGCTTTAGTGGTATCGGTATCGATAACACGAACAACTGACCAGTCGCGGGGTGTGTCGTTTCACTCGGCTGCAAAAGTCGACGGGGAATAGCTCATTAACTCGCACTGCTGCAGCAGACATGGATCGTGATCGTGAGATCAATCCACGGAGTAATTATTATTAGACTCCTCCGTAGATCAAACGGCGGCGCGGCTGCGGGTTCACGTGCGTGGGTGGACCTGCGCCCGCCAGCCCGCACGCGATCTATAATTATATTTTGTGACCCACCCACGCACGTCATGTATTAAAATAGTGGACCAGTGTTCTCGGGGCCATTCGGTTGAAATATAACGGATTTTCGTAGAAATCGGATGAAATAAAATCAGCGACCGGCGACCGGATCTGGACATTTGCCCCCGGGGACTTGGGTGCGAAAAACAAAACAATTTAATAACGCTCGGCTCCGGGTCGCCGCAAAAACAAAAGCAACCACCCGATTTATGCATAGCAATTAATATTATACCCGCACCTATATATTATGTACACTGAGAGTTATTCCGCGGAACGAAATCATAACGTTATAATGTTTTCGATAATAAAATATGATTTACTAGGACGTCATCGTGACAATTATCGACAAAGCATATCATATAGTAGTACGGTTAAGTTATTAAGTGGTCTCGCAAAACGAATAATAAAAGTGTTGCAATAGTTTTTTTAAACCCTATTAGAGAATGATGGTCTCTCATAATGTTATAATATGATATATTCGCTTTCAGATATCTGTACAGATACGACCAACAACGGTTGGTCTCAAAATTAACAATTGTACCCCATAATATATGACTATGACGTATAGTGTGATCCAGCCATTAGAGAAACATCATTACTATAATAGGGTAACCACGTGGTATAGTAAACGAAGCGCCAAATCGGTTCGATGACACCGAAGTCACTGAAGCGAAAAATATTATTTAAATGTAAACAAATTGCAATCGCTTGCAGGTCGTATACTCCGTATCAATACTAAGGTTTGCTGAAATTAGGACAATCGAACATATTATTTTACTTTTAACTATCTATACATCGTAATAAGCTTCTAAACGTGGACTTTTTCGTTAAATCAATGCCTCGGTTTCGGGGTTGGTAGACGGAATAGGGGTGAGTCATTGGAGTCGTGAATTGGAATTTGTGCGTTTTATTCGTATTAGGTTAGGTTGGTCGGTGTGACGAGTACATCAACATTAGCGTATAATATATGAGTTCAGAACACTCTCGCCCAATATTTCGTACACGATATTATAACAGACTAATTTTGAATGTGTACTATACTGGTTTATATAGGCAAGTGATAAGTACTTATTCTAAAAATGTATTTAAATTTGTGACTTTGATGTGACAAGTTGATATCGGGACTTGCCCTATAATTTTAATTTTCTTTTCGTTTTAAATTCTCTAAAAAAGTTAAAGAAATGGATATTAAAATGATTGTTTTCATTTTCTTTTTTTCATTTAAATAATGAAATCAAAAATGTAAGAAATTTGATTTGTAGTAGAAAATAAAAAGGCAAATTGAAACGCTCACAAACATAAAACTGTTTAGTAACGACCCAAACGTATTATTGCAGCTTCTAATTCCAATAAACAACACAGATTTAAATTAAATAATACAGTTTAAATCCACATAAAAACAATTAAAAGTAAAATATTCAATCCTTTCAACTTGAAATCTTAGTAGGTACATCAGGCATCAGCTGATAACAAATATTGGGCGTGAGGTTCTACCACAAAATGATGAATCTCAAGATTTTGGAAAGTATAAATATGCCAATATTGGTGCGTATGACATTCCTTTTTATATATCTTTCGCGATTATGTCCTACCTACTATAGTTGTGGCCACAAATATATATTTTTTATACCTTTGGCGCTTGTGTCCTACTAAATATGGCTCTAATGACAAGTGTTTTATTTGTATTCCATTGGCGCTTGTGTCTTAATAATTATGATGCAATCGACAAGTGTTTTTTGTTTTTTGTTTTTTTTTATTTTGTCCTCGTGTGGTCACAAAGCCATAGAAGACCATACCAATTATTTTAGTACCTGTATTTAACGGAAGTCGAGTGCAGTTGGTCGTGACCGCCACCACCTCCAACGCCACCGCCGTCGTCGTAGTCTTCGTCGTCGTCGTCGTCGTCGTCGTCGTCGGTGGCGAACGCGTCGGCCCAACCGGCAAAGTTGTGTCGCCGTCCGCCGCCACTATTGGCGCCGCCGCTGGTCGTCCGTCGCACGGCGCTCGCCTTGCTGGTGCCCACCGACCGCGACCGGACGGCCACGGCGGCGGTCGCGTGCCGCCGCAGTTTTGTCGGCAAGCTGTGCGACCGGCCAGTCGTGGTGGCCCCTTCGCGGCCGCTGTCCGACGCCGCCGCCGCCGCCGCCGCCGTGGCCACCGTGGACGCGGCCCGCGGGTCCGACGATCTCTTGAGGCGCAACACTCGGGCGCGGCACACCACGCACCGCAACGGCAACGAACGCCGTGAAACGGCTATCTGGATGGTGCGCACCAGACACTTGCGGCACACCACCCGGTGACCGCACGGCCAAGTCTGCATCGTCGCCTTTGAGTTGACGCATATCACGCACTGCGACAACAAACCGTTCAAACAATATTGTTATGATTTATATGTGCCAATGTTACCATATGTATGGTAATGGTCGTTAAAAATTGGACAGGTCGGACTCGGGGATTTCAACGCGCGTGTCATTATTTTCCGGATAGCCCGACACGATTCAACCGCAGTATATTCGCAGATTTATTATTATATGTAAATGACAACAAGATGGCCGACCAATTGTTACCAACGAGGTTTTCCGCCATTTATAGTGTGGGTAATGTTTCCATCACGTACATGTTTAATGGGATAACCGGAGTTTTGAGTTGTTAAACATTTTTAATTTTTATACCTAAAACTATGACGGTGGCTTTGTGTTTAATCTTAAATATTTGGTTAATCTTTGGAAAATATTCGAAAATTGTACAACCCAAAAACTGTACGAAATAAGTCATGACGTCAAGTCAATATTTGTCTTCATATTCAACTTATGACTTAACTTTGACTTAATTAAACTAACTCAAGTTAATTGTTTTCACTAACTTGATCGCCTTTGGTCGTCATTATTGTATTAATATACCTATTGGTACTGGGATTCTGAACCAAGAAGCGGTTAGATATTCATTATGTAAACAATATTTAAAACTCAATAAAATATTCATACAGTCCAACTATTACGAGGTAAAATCATACACATTCATCGAGCCGCTGAGAATTTAAAATTGAAACAATATTCAA